CAGGGGGACAGGGGATATGGGGGGGATGTGTGGGGATGTGAGGGACAGGGGACACAGGGACAGGGATGGTGACAGGGGGGACAGGGGATGGGGGACACGGGGAGACACAGGACAGGGGGACAGGGGACAGAAGGATATGGGGACATGGGGGGATGTAGGAGGGACAGGGGGACATGGGGGACAGGGGGACATGGGGGGACGTGGGGACACGGGGACACAGGACATGGGGACAGGGGAGATGTGGGAGGGCATGAGGGACACCAGGACAGGGGATGGAGGGGGGGGACACAGGGACATGGGGGTGTGGGGACATGGGGGGGGGACATGGGGATGGGGAGGATATGGGGACAGGGGGTACAGGGAAGGACATGGGGGGACAGGGGACAGGGGACAGGGGGGGACATGGGATGGGGAGGATGTGGGGGAACATGAGGGACATGGGGGGGACACGGGACAGGGGGAACGGGGGGGGACATGGGGACAGGGGAGATGTGAGGGGATATGGGGACATGGGGGACAGGGGGACACAGGACAGGGGGACACGGGGGATTTGGAGGGGACAGGGGATGGGAGGGGACACAGGGACAAGGGGGGACACGGGGGGGACGGGGGGGGACATGGAGACATGGGAGGGCAGGAGGACAAGGAGGATGGGGGGGATATGGGGACAGTGGGACATGGGGACATGGGGGGACACTGTGGGGACACTGTGGGGACAATGGGGGGACACTGTGGGACACTGTGGGGACAATGGGGGGACAATGGGGGGACAATGGGGGGAATTTTGGGGCTGGTTCAGCTTTCATGGGGACGCCCATGGGGGCAGGGGGCAAGGTCTGGGGTGGCCGTGACCCGTGTGTCCTGTCCCCAATGTCCCCAATGGTGTCCCCAATGTCCCCATTGGTGTCCCCAATGTCCCCATTGGTGTCCCCAGCCCCGAGACCGCCGCCTTCATCCGGCACCTGGAGCAGGAGCAGGCCCAGCGCGCCCGGAACCCCCAGGAGCAGAAATCCTTCTTTGCCAAATACGTGAGGGACACCCCAAAAGCAGCCCTGACACCCCAAAAAATCACCTGGGGCACCCCAAAAATCACCTGGGGCATCCCAAAATCCACCCTGACACCCCAAAAACGCCTGGGGCACCTCAAAAATCACCTGGGACAACCCCAAAATCCATCTGGGATACCCCAAATATCCACCCTGACACCCCAAAAAACATCTGAGGCATCCCAAAATCCATCTCGGGCATCCCAAAAAACACCTGGGCCATCCCAAAATCCACCCTTGACACCCCAAAATCCACCCTGACACCCCAAAATCCATCTGGGACACCTCAAAAATCATCTGGGACACCCCAAAATCCATCTGGGACACCCCAAAAATCCACCCTGACACCCCAAAAACACCTGGGGCACCCCAAAAACACTGGGGGCATCCCAAAATCCATCTGGGAACCCCCAAAATCCACCCAGTCCCCCTCCGGGACCCTCCAAAAACCACCTGGGACCCCTAAAAAACCCACCTGGGACCCCCCCAGAAATCATCTGGGACACCCAAAAACCCACCCAGACACCCCAAAATCCCACACTGACACCCCAAAAACACACCCAGAACCCCTCTGGGACACCCCAAAAACACCTGGGACACCCAAAAAACCACCCAGACATCCCAAAAAATACCCTGACACCCCAAAACTGCCTGATTTTGGGATGAATTTTGGGCTGATTTTGGGGTGGATTTTGGGATGATCGGAGCTGATTTTGGGGTGGATTTGGGCTGATTCTGAGGTGGATTTTGGGGGAGTGATTTGGGGCTGATTTTTGGGCTGGTTTGGGGGGGATTTTGAGGTGGATTTTGGCTGATTTTGGGGTGATTTTAGGGGGAATTTTGGGGTGGATTTGGGGTGATCTGGGCTGATTTTGGGGGGGGTGATTTTGGGTGGATTTTGTGGTGGTTTGGGCTGATTTGGGGGCGCATTTTGGGGTGATTTTGGGTAGATTTTGGGGCTGATATTGGGGTTACATGGGCTGATTTTGGGGTGTTCTGGGCTGGCTTTGGCTGATTTTGGGGTGGATTTTGGGGTGATTGTGGGGGGGGTGATTTGGTCCTGATTTTGGGGTGATTCTGAGGTGGATTTTGGGCTGAGTTTGGGGTGATTTTGGCTGATTTTGGGGCGGATTTTGGGGTTATTTGGGTTGATTTTGGAGTGGATATTTGGGTTGATTTTGGGATGGATATTCGGGGTTATTTGGGCTCATTTTGGGTGGATTTTGGGGTGATCTGGGGCTGATTTAGGGCTGATTTTGGGGCACATTTTGGAGTTTTATGGGCTGCTTTTGGGGTGATTTTGGAGTGGATTTTGGGGTGGATTTGGGGTGATTTTGGGGTAATTTTGGGGGGGGGTGATTTTGGGGCTGCTTCTGGGTGGACTTTGGGGTGGATTTGGGCTGATCTGGGCTGATTTTGGGGTGGATCTGGGCTGATTTTGGGGTGGATTTGGGCTGATATTGGGGTGATCTGGGCTGATTTTAGGGGGGTGATTTTTGGGCTGAATTTGGGGTGATTTTGGGGCTGATTTTGGGCTGACCCCCCTCCTCTCTCCCCACAGTGGATGTACATCATCCCCATCGTGCTCTTCCTCATGATGTCCGGAGCCCCCGATGCTGGGGGGGCACAGGGCGGGGGCACGGGGGGCGGGGGGGGGGCGGGGGTCAGGTGAGACCCCCCCAAAATCCCCCCCGGACCCCCCAGTGTGGGGCATGGGCAATAAAGATGTGTGAGACCCCAAATGTGGCTGTGAGACCCCAAAATCCGGGTGAGACCCCCCAAATCCGGGTGTGACCCCAAATCTGTGTGAGACCCCCCCAAATCCGGGTATGACTCGCTAAATGTGGGTGGGACCCCAAAGTGTGGATGGGACCCCCTAAATCTCTGTGTGACCCCAAAATCTGGGTGAGACACACCCCAAATGTGGGAGGGACCCCAAAAATCGGGGTGTGAGACACGCCCCCCCCAAATCTGAGTGTGAGCTCCTAAATGTGGGTGGGACCCCCGTTATTCTGGGTGTGACCCCAAATCTCTGTGACCCCACCTAAATCCGGGTGAGACCCCCCCCCAAAATCCAGGTGTGACCCCCGAAAATCTGTGTGAAGCCCCCAAATGTGGGTGTGACCCCAAAATCCAGCTGTGAGACCCCAAAATCCACATGTGATCCCCTAAATCCGGGTGTGACCCCCCCCAAATTTGGGTCCCTGGGCTGGACCCCAGAGACTTCCCGGGGGTCCAGGGGAACCCCAAAACCTCAACTCCGTCCTTGGGGGGAGCCTGGGCAGGAAATTGGGGGGAAAGGGGCGGGGCTTGGACAAAGGGACACGCCCCGTTATGCAAATGTGAGAGAAAATGCGCCTTTATGCAAATACAAAGGAGGTGCCGTAAGTTATAGCCACGCCCCTTTATGCAAATAAAGAGGCGGTGCTGTACACTATAACCACGCCCCTTTATGCAAATACAGAGGCAGTGCTGTGCACGATAAACACGCCCCTTCATGCAAATAGGAACCAATGAGCTACAGCCATGTGCATTTATGCAAATAGAGGGGAGGTGCTGTGCACTATAACCACGCCCTTTTATGGAAATACAGAGGCGATGCCGTGAGTTATAGCCCCGCCTCTTTATGCAAATATAGAGGCGGTTCTTTGCCATATAGCCACGCCCCTTTATACAAACACATTCGGTACACTGATTTAACCACGCCCCTGTATGCAAATAAAAAGACTGTGATGTGAGCTATAACCACGCCTCTTTATGCAAATACAGAGCCGGTACCATGATCTATATCCACGCCCCTTTATGCAAATATAGAGGCGATACCGTGAGCTATAGCCCTGCCCCTTTATGCAAATACAGAGACTGTGCTGTGAGCTATAACCTCGCCCCTTTAAGCATAGTCGGTACCGTGAGCTATAACCACGCCCCTTTATGCAAAAAAGTCGGTACCGTGATCTATAGCCACGCCCCTTTATGCAAACAAACCCGGCCCCATCCGCTTTAGCCACGCCCCTTACGCGAACCCCCGCGCGGCGCTGCCACGCCCCTTCACGCCGGGGGCGGTGCCGCTTGCGCGCCCGCTGATTGGCGGAGGAGATCACGTGGCCGTCGCGGTGACGTCAATTCCCGGAAGCGTGGCCGCCACTTGGCGGGTCCGGGACTCCTCAGCTCCCCCGAGCCCCGGGATCGCGCCGGGATCGCTCCGGGCCCTTCAGCTCGCCCCGGGATCGCCCGGATCGGCCTCGGATCCCTCAGCTCGCCCCGGGATCGCCCCGGGTCCCTCCGCTGTCCCCGCTGTCCCTCTCTCCCCCCGTCCTCCTGTCCCTCTCTCCCGCCTCTGTCCCTCTGTCCCCGGTTTCCCCGCTGTCCCCTCGTGTTCCCCGGTCTCCCCGCTGTCCCCGGTTTCCCCTCTCTCCTCTCCCCGGTGTCCCCCCGGTCCCTCTGTCCCCGGTTTCCCCGCTGTCCCCCCGGTCTCCCCTCTCTCCCGGTGTCCCGGGATGGCGGAGGGCGGCCCGCGGCGGCTGCGGCCGTGGCTGCTGGCTCAGCTGCAGAGCGGGCGCTTCCCGGGTTTGCAATGGGACGACGCGGCCCAGACGGCGCTCAGGATCCCCTGGGCCCACGGCGGGAGGAGCGGGGCCCGCGACGGGGCGGGGGCGGCGCTATGCAAAGTAGGGGCGGAGCTATAGAACCGAGGGGCGGGGCTATGGGGTAAGGGCAGGGCTATAGAACTGAGGGACGTGACTATGGGTAAGGGCGGGGCTATGCCATGTGGGGCGGGGCTATGCAAAGTAGGGGGAGCTAGGCAGGGTAGGGGCGGGGCCTGCGGGGTAGGGGCGGAGCTATAGCGACCAAGGTGCAGGGCTATGCAGTGTAGGGGCGGGGCTACAGCGATGAGGGGTGGTGCTATGCAGAGTGAGGGGCGGGGCTATGTGGAGAGTGGGCGGGGTTATGCAGACTGAGGGGTAGGGCTATACAGAGTTAAAGGTGGTGTTATGCAAAGTGAGGGGCGGGGCCTGACGGGTCAGGGGTGGGGCTTTGCAAAGCCAGGGCGGGGGCGGGGCTGTGAGCGGTGCTTAGCAGGGTCAGGGGCGGGGGCCGCGGCTCTGGGGAGGCGTGGCCAAGGCTGTGCTGGGCCAAGGGCTGGGCTCTTCACGGTGAGGGGTGGGGCCAATAACGACGCTCTGTAATGAAAGGGGCGTGGCCAAGGGCGGAGCTCTGCACAGTGGGGCGGGGCTTAGAGATGGGCGGGGTTTTGCAAAAGGGAGGAGCCCTTTGCCAGCTGATGGGCGGGGCCTAGTTGAGAGGCGGGGCTTAACGCACTGACGCTGTGAAAGGGGGAGGAGCTAAGAAGAGGGCGGGTCTACGGGGTGCTGGCACTGAACAAAGCCATGGAGGAGGCGGAGCTTGGGCCACGCCCCCGCTGTGGAAGGAGCCAATCCAGGGGTGGTACCGGGACAGCTGCGGGGTGGGGCTTTGAGGAGGGGGTGGAGCCATGCCGAGTGCGAGTGGGTGGGGCGCGGGGGTGTACTATGCAAATGAGATGGGCGTGGCTTGATGGCGTTGCTCCCGGCAGGCGTGGGCGGAGTACAAGGGGCGGCTCCGGCCCGGGGACCCCCCCGACCCCGCGGGGTGGAAGACGCGGCTGCGCTGCGCCCTGGCCCGGAGCCCCGAGTTCCGGCAGCTGCCGGGGCGGGGCCGCTCGGACGGGCCCTGCCCCTACCGCGTGTACCGGGTGCTGCCCGCCCGCGGTGAGCACCAGGGGCCGGAACGGAACGGGGGCATCAAATGGGGGATGGAGATTGGGGGGGACACAGGAAATGAGGTGCGGGGAGTGAATATGGGGAAACACCGGAATAGGGGGCAGAATATGAGGGGGACACGGGAAACGGGGACAGTATTGGGGGGCACAAAGGAAATGGGGACTCATTATGTGGGGACACTCTGGAAATGGGGATGGAATGTGGGGGGACACACCGGAAATAGGGACTCATTATGGGGGGACACACAGGAAATGGGGTGAGGGGGTTGAATATGTGGGGACACAAAGGAAATGGGGACTGAGTATGGGGAGGACATGAGAAATGGAGAGTGGGGACTGAATATGTGAGGACACACCGGAAATGGGGTTGAGGGACTGAATATGGTGGGGGACATGGGATATGGTGTGAGGGGATGAAATATGGGAGGACACATTGGAAATGGGGTGAGGGGATTGAATATAATGGGACACACCGGAAATGGGAACTGAATATGGAGGAACACAGGGGAAATGGAATGGAGGGGACACTGCAAAAAGGTTGAGCGGACTGAATATGAGGGGGCACACAGGAAATGGGGAGTGAACAAGGGGGGGACACACCGGAAATGGGGCTGGAATATAGGAGGACACACCGGAAATGAGGTGAGGGGACTGAATATGGGGGGGACACACCGGAAATGGGGACTGAATATGAGGGTGACATGGGAAATGGGGACTGAATATGTGGGGACACACTGGGAAAGGGGATGGAACATGGACGGACACAAGAGAAATGGAATGAGGGGACTGAATATGGAGGGGACACTAGAAAAAGGGTGAGGGGACTGAATATGGGGGGACACACAGGAAAAGGGGACTGAATATGGGGGGGGAATGGGAAATGGAGAGGGGGGACTGAATATGAAGGGGCCCACAGGAAAAGGGGACTGAATATGGGAGAACACACAGGAAATGGAGAAGGGGGGACTGAATATGGGGGAGGGAAATGGATGTGGGGGAACCCCCAAATCAGGGTTGCCCCGAGATGGGGGAACCAAACCAGAGGAGCACCGGGGGAGGGGCCAAATGGGGCCCTGGAAGGGCAGGGGGAGGGGTGCAGGGATCAGACCCGCATTAACCCTCTCAGTGCCGCCCCCAACAGAGCCCAAGCCCCCCAGGGGCCGGCAGAGCCAGAAGGAGGCGGGGTTGAGCCCCACGGAGCCCCTCCCACCGACCCCGCCCCCCGAGAGCCAGGACGGGACCCCGGATGAGGAAAAGCCCGGTGAGGGGAGGGGGGGTTGGGGGCAGTTCTGGGACAATCCTGGGGCTGGGGTGGCCCTGGGGGTGGAGCAATGGGGCGTGGCCTCTGCCTGACCCCACCCTTTTAGCAGAGCCTCCGCCCCCGGAAGTGCTGCCCCTGCGGATCGAGGTGGAGACCGCAGAGCCCCTCCCCCCTGCACATGGTAAGCCAGGCCTCAAATGGGGAGGAGCAAATTCTTGCCACACCCCCAACACTGCCCCAGGATTGGCTCCTCCCCCAAACCTGGGCACCTGCGGAGCTTTGGCTCCACCTCCACCCTCTCTTGCCCCGCCCCTTTCATTCCCAGCCCACCCCCTTAAACCACACCCACTCCCCACTTTTAGCCCCGCCCCTCACACTGACCCCGCCCCTTTCCCGCAGGGGATGCGGCGTTGCTGCTGCGGCTGCGCCGAGGCCCCGCCCTGGTCTGGGAGGGGGCGGTGCCTCCTGGCGAGTACCTGCTGAGCCCTCCTGGCCGCCAGGGGGCGGAGCCGCCGCCGCTGCCACGATTGGTACTTCCGGTGGGGGCGGGGCCGGGGCTACTGCTCAGCAGCGCCCCCCGGGGGCTCTTCCTGCGCCTGCGCCCTGGCGACGGCCCCGCCCCCGGGGTCGTGAGGGGGCCCCACGTGCCCCACGGGCCCCTCCAGCAGGGGGCGCTGCTGCAGCCGTTCGACGCCCAACGATTCCGGGAGGGTGAGAGGCACTTCCGGGGAGGGGGGGAGCAACTTCCGGGGGGAGGGGAGGAACTTCCGGTGGGGGAGAGTGAAAATAACATTTCGGGAAGGGAGAGACACTTCCGGGGGGGGGTAGAGTGACTTCCGGTGAGAGGGGTACAACTTCCGGTGGGGAAGAGCAACTTCCGGGAAAAGGGAAGCAACTTCCGGGGAGGGGAGGGCAACTTCCGGTGGAGGGAGAGCAACTTTTGGGACAGGTGAAGCAACTTCCGGGGCGAAGAAGAACTTCCGGTGGTGGCAGAGCCCAACTTCTGGGGGAGGGTAGAGTGACTTCTGGGGAGGGGAAGAGGAACTTCCTGTGGTGTTGGAGCAATTTCCGGGAAAGGGAGATCAGTTCTGGGGGAGGGGAAGCAACTTCCGGGGGTTCGAGTGACTTCCAGGGGAGGGAGAAGGAATTCCAGTTGGGAACAGCAACTTCCGAGGGGAAAAAGAGCAACTTCCAGGTGGCATAGAGAGAATTCTGGGGAAGGGAGACCAATTCTGGGAGAGGGGAAGCAACTTCCGGGAATGGGAAAGCAGCTTCCGGGGGTAGGGAGAGGAACTTCCGGTGTGGAGACAGCAACTTCCGGGGGACGGGGGAACAACTTCCGGGTGGGGAGAGGAACTTACAGTGGTGTTAGAGTCATTTCTGGGGAAAGGAGGTCAATTCCAGGAGAGGGGAAGCAACTTCTGGGGAGGGGAAATAATTTTATGGGGAGGGAGAGCAGCTTCCTGGGGGCTAGAGTGACTTCCGGGGGGAGGGAGAGGAACTTCCGGTGGAGGAGAGCAACTTCTGGGGGGGGTAGAAAGACTTCCGGGAGGGAGAGAGCAACTTCCAGGGGGTGTACAGAGACTTCCAGGGAATGGAGATCAATTCCAGGAAGGGGAAGCAACTTCTGGGGGGATAGAGCGACCTCTGGTGGAGGGGGGAGGAACTTCTGGTAGGGGTAGAGGAACTTCCGGGAGGGCAGAGAGACTTCCGGGAGTGGAAAAAGGACCTTCTGGTGGAGGGGACAGAAACTTCCAGGGGGGAAAAGAGAGATTTCTGTGGGGGAAGGGCAACTTCCGGGGGAGGGGAGTGTATTCTGGGACTGGAAAGAGAAACTTCCGTGTTGGAAAAAGCAACTTCTGGGGGAGGGGACAGAACCTTCCAGTGTAGGAAGAGAGAATTCTGGGGGAGAGCAACTTCCAAGAGGTAGAGAAACTTCTGGGAGGGTGAGAGCAACTTCCGGGGGGGAGGAGAGCGAATTCTTGGGGACGAGAGCAATTTCCAGGGCAGAAGAGAGCAACTTCCGCGGGGGAAAGACCAAGTTTTGGGGGAAGAGAGCAACTTCCAGAGGGGAGAGCAAGGTCCAGGAGGGTAGAGAGACTTCTGGGGGAGGGGAAAGTAACTTTCGGGGAAGGGTTATCAACTTCCGGGGAGGGAGAGCAACTTCCGGTATAGAGGAGAGAAACTTCCGGCTGGGAGGAGCAACTTCCGGGAGTGGAAAAAGGAACTTCCGGGTTGGAAAGAGCAACTTCGGGTGGTGGGAGAGCAAGTTCCGGGGAGGGGCAGAGCAAGTTTTGGGGGAGGAAAACAACTTCCGGTGGTGGGGACAGGAACCTCCGGGGGGAAAAAGAGCAACTTCCGGGGGAGGAGAGTGACTTCCGGAAGTGAAAAGAGGAACTTCCGGGGGAGGGGATAGAAACTTCCGGTGTAGAGGAAAGCAGCTTCCGGTGGGAGGAGCAACTTCCGGGAGAGACCAAAACACCGGGGGTGGGGTCGGACCCCAAATCCTCCCCCCCCCGTGCCCCTCCCCCCACGCTGACCACGCCCCTCCACCCCCCCCCAGAGTTGGAGCGGCACCGGGCCGGGCTCGGGCCCCTCCCCCTGCACCGCGTGACCCTGGAGCTCCGCCCCCATGAGGAGGGGGAGGGGCTGCTGCTGGAGGTGGGGGAGGGGGGGTTCTTAAGGGGTTTTGGGGGGGTCCTGGGGGTGTTGGGGTGACCCTAAGGGCTCTTAATGGGTCCTGGGGGCTCCCTAAGGGGTTTTGGGAGGGTTCCGGGGGGGTCTCTAAGGGATTCTGGGGGGTCTTTGAGGGTCTCTAATATGTTTTGGGGGGTCCCTAAGGGTGGTTGGGGGGTCCTGAGGGCTTTTGGGGGGTCTTGGGGGTGTTCCCAAGAGCTCTTGGTGGGTCCTGGGGGCTGCTGGGAGGGTCCAGGGGGGTTTTGGGGGTGATCCTGGGGGTTTTGGGGTCCCTATAGGGGTGTTTGGGGTCCCTGGGGGGCTCTTGGGGGGGTCCCTAAGGGTGGCTGGGGCGTCCTGAGGGGTCCTGGGGATGTTGGGGTGACCCTAAGAGCTCTTAGGGGCTCCTGGGGGGGTCTCTAAAGGGTTTTGGGGGGTCCTGGGGGGGTTCCTAGAGGTGGTTAAGGGGGTCCCGAAGGGTCCTGAGGGCTCTTGGGGGGTCTCTAAGAGGTCCTGGGGGAATCTCTGGGGGGTGTTTGGGGTCCTGGGGGGTCCCTAAGGGATTTTGGGGGGGATCCCTAAGGGGTCCTGGGGGGCTCTTGGGAGTCCTTAAAGGATTTGGGGGGGTCCTTAAGGGTGGTTGGGGGGGTCCTGAGGGGTTTTGGGGGGTCCCTAAGGGGTTCTGGAGGGTCCCTAAAGGATTTTGGGAGTGTCAGGGGGTCCTGGGGGGTTCTCTAAGGGATTTTGGGGGGTCCCTGGGGGTGTTTGGGAGGATTTTGGGGGTGGGGGTCTCGGGGGGATTTTGGGGGGGGACTGGGGGGTGTCTGGGGTCCTTAGGGGAGCTCTTGGGGGGTCCCTGATGGATTTTGGGGGGTCCCTGAGGGGTTCTGGGGGTCCCTGGGGTTTTGTTCGGGTCTGGGGGTTTTTGGGGGGTTTTTTGGGGGGTGTCTGAGCCCGTTCCCCTCCCCCCAGCTGGAACAGGCCTTCGCCCAGCGCCTCCTGGACACCCTGGGGACCCCCCCCGGTCAATAAAGGCGGAAATGGGGGTCACCCCCGCCCCTCCCCCACCCCGGGGGTGTCACTGGAACTGGGGGAGGGGCTGGGGGGGGGGGGGGAGGGGACCCCAAAACCGGGGTCGGGGGGGAGGGGCCCCTCAATACCGGAGTGGGGGAAGGGCCCCCAAAACCAAAGGAGGAGGGGCTGGGGGGGGGAGGGGGGAGGGGCACCCCAAAACCCAAGGGGGAGGAGACCCCAAAGCCTGAGAGGGGGGAGGGGCAGCCAGGGCGTGTCCAAAGAGGTTTTGGTGTTTATTGGGGGGTGGGTGGGGGAGGGGCTCCCCCGGGGTGGGCGGGGTCTCAGTCGTCCTTGAGCCCCCCAAACACCGAGGCCGGGACCTTCCTCTGCTCCAGCTGCACCTCTGGGGGCGGGGACACAGAAACGGGGGCGCGGGGTCAGGGTGGGGGGGAGGGGCAGGCACCCATCCCCCACCTGGGGCCCCCCTCAGGGACCCCCCCCCCCCCTCAGCTCCCCCCATTTCTGGCCCCCACCCCCTCCCAATGTGCCCCTCCCCCCAGTCCCAGTGTCCACAATGCTGGGGTCCCTCCCCCACTGGCCCCTCCCCCACTGCCATTAGGCCACTCCCCCTGTGCCGCTCCCCCCCCGGTATCATCGGGGCCCCTCCCCCTTTCTTTGCCCCTCCCCCCCGTATGATTTGGCCCCTCCCACTCTCTTTGCCCCTCCCCCGGTACCATCAGGCCCCTCCCCCCTCCCTTTCCCCCTCCCCTGGTACAATTTGGCCCCTCCCGTTTCCCCTCCCTTTGCCCCTCCCCCTAGGTACCATCGGGCCCCTCCCCCAGCCCCTCCCCCTCCCTTTGCCCCTCCCCCGGGTACCATCAGGCTCCTCCCCCTCCCTTTGCCCCTCCCCCGGTACCATCAGGCCCCTCCCCCTCCCTTTGCCCCTCCCCCGGTACCGTCGGGCCCCTCCCCCTCCCTTTGCCCCTCCCCCGGTACCGTCGGGCCCCTCCCCCTCCCTTTGCCCCTCCCCCTGGTACCATCAGGCTCCTCCCCCCCCCTTTGCCCCTCCCCCGGTACCGTCAGGCTCCTCCCCCTCCTCGTCCAGGTCGATCTCCTCGGGGTTCCCCTGCAGGGACAGCGGCGGCTCCGAGCCTGGGGCGGCCTCGGCCCTGAACCCCAAAATCAGCAACAAAAACAGAAACAGAAACACCCCAAAATCAGAAACAGACACAGAAACAGACACCCCAAAATCAGTAACAAAACCACCCCAAAATCAGCAACAGACACAGAAACAGAAACACCCCAAAAATCAGAAACAAGAACAGAAACAGACACCCCAAAATCAGCAACAAAAACAGAAACAGAAACAAACACCCCAAAATCAGCAACAAAACCACCCCAAAATCAGCAACAAAAACAGAAACAGACACCCCAAAATCAGTAACAAAAACAGAAACAGAAACAAACACCCCAAAATCAGCAACAAAACCAGAAACAAAAACACCCCAAAATCAGAAACAAAATCACCCAAAAATCAGAAACAAAATCACCCAAAAATCAGAAACAGAAACAAACATCCCAAAATCAGCACCAGGAGCCCAAAATCACAAACACGAACCCCGGATCAGAAACGAAGACACCCCAAAATCAGAACTGGGACCCCAAAATCAGAACTGGGACCCCAAAATCAGAAACAGAATCACCCCAAAATCACAACTGGGACCCCAAAATCAGAGACAGAAATTGAGACCCGCCCAAATCAGAAACAGGGACCCCAGATCAGCACCGAGACCCCAAAATCAGAGACAGAAACAGGAACAGAAACCCCAAATCAGTAACAGAGACACCCCAAAATCAGGAACAGAAACAAAACCACCCCAGAATCAGAAACAGGGACCCCCAAAACCACCCAGGGACCCCAAAATCAGAAACACAAACAGGGACAGAAACAGAAACCCCAGATCAGAAACACCACAAAATCAGAGGCAGAGACAGAAAACAGAAACACCCCAAAATCAGAACTGGGACCCCAAATCAGCACTGGGGACCCCAAAATCAGAACCGGGGACCTCCACAAAAACCCAGGGACCCCAAAATCAGCATGGAGACCCCCAGAGTCACCCTGTGCCCCCAAATCAGAAACAGGGACCCCAAATCAGCCCCCAGCACCTACAGGGAGAACTCGGAGGGGGGCGTGGCTTTGTAAAATGGGCGTGTCTGGGCAGGATGGGTGTGACAGTGGGTGTGGCCATGGCACTGGGTGTGTCAGTGGGCGTGGCCATGGGACTGGGTGTGTCATTGTTAGGTGGGTGTGTCAGTGGGCGTGGCCGTGGGCGTGTCAGGGCAGGGTGGGTGTGTCAGTGGGCGTGGCCACGGCAGCGGGTGTGCCATGGATAGGTGGGTGTGTCAGTGGGCGTGGCCACAGCAGTGGGTGTGTCAGAGTTAGGTGGGTGTGTCAGTGGGCGTGGCCATGGCAGTGGGTGTGTCAGGTAGGTGTGTCAGAGTTAGGTGGGTGTGTCAGTGGGCGTGGCCATGATAGTGGGTGTGGCAGTATTAGGTGGGTGTGGCTGTGGTTATGTGCGGTGGGTGTGTCAGTGGTTATGGCAGGGTGGGTATGGCAGTGGGTGTGGGTGGCAGTGGGCGTGGCCATGGCAATGGGTGTGTCAGTGTTAGGTGGGTGTGTCAGTGGGTGTGCCAGTGGCTGTGGGCGTGTCTCACCTGACGAACAGCACCTGCTGGGCGGGGCTGGGTGGGTGTGGCAGTGGGTGTGTCAGTGTTGGGGTGTGTGTCAGTGGGCGTGGCCGTGGCAGTGAGTGTGCCATGGTTAGGTGGGTGTGTCAGTGGGTGTGTCAGGGTTAGGTGGGTGTGTCAGTGGGCGTGGTCACGGCAGTGAGTGTGTCAGTGTCAGGTGGGTGTGTCAGTGTCAGGTGGGTGTGTCAGTGGGCGTGGTCACGGCAGTGGGTGTGTCAGTGTCGGGTGTGTCAGTATTAGGTGGGTGTGTCAGTGGGCGTGGTCACGGCAGTGGGTGTGTCAGTGTCAGGTGGGTGTGTCAGTGTCAGGTGGGTGTGTCAGTGGGCGTGGTCACGGCAGTGGGTGTGTCAGTGTCAGGTGGGTGTGTCAGTGGGCGTGGGCGTGTCTCACCTGACGAACAGCACCTGCTGGGCGGGGCGGGGCGTGTCCCGCTGGGCCTCAGCCGCCAGCGCCTCCGCGCGCTGCTCCAGCAGCTTCATCTCATCCAGGCCGCTCTGCCCCGGGGCCAGGTCGGACACTGCGGGGCGGGGAGGGTCAGGGGGGCTTGGGACCCCCCATGGACACCCCCACAGCACCTCTGGGACCCCCCATGGACACCCCCACAGCACCTCTGGGACCCCCCCATGGACACCCCCACTGCACCCCTGGGACCCCCACAGCACCTGGGACCCCCCCATGGACACCCCCACAGCACCCCTGGGACCCCAAAAGGACCCAGGGCCCCTATGGAACCCCCACAGCACCCCCAGGATCCCCCACAGCACCCCCAGGAACCCCACAGGACCCAGGGCCAGGTCGGACACTGCGGGGTGGGGAGGGTCAGGGGGACTTGGGACCCCCCCATGGACACCCCCACTGCACACCTGGGACCCCTCTGGGATCCCCACAGCACCCAGGACCCCTCTGGGACCCCCCATGGACACCCCCACAGCACCCCTGGGACCCCCACAGCACCCAGGATCCCTCTGGGACCCCTCATGGCCCCTGGGACCCCCACAGCACCCCCAGGAACCCCCACAGGACCCAGGGCCAGGTCTGACACTGCAGTGTGGGGAGGGTCAGGGGGCCTCGGGACCACCAGGATCCCCCCCACTGCACCCCTGGGACCCCCCCATGGCCCTTGGGACCGCTCTTGGACCCCCCTTATGAGCCCTGAGACCCCCACAGCACCCCCAGGACCCCTGGGCCAGGTCTGACACTGCGAGATGGGGAGGGTCAGGGGGCTCGGGACCCCCCCATAGACACCCCCACAGCACCCGGGACCCCTCTGGGACCCCCTCACAGCCTCTGGGACCCCCCTCACAGCCCCTGGGACCCCCTATAGCACCCTCAGGACCCCCCCATGGCCACTGGGACCCTCCCACGGCCCCTGAGATCCCCCATGGCACCCCCAGGACCCACCATGGGACCCCCCCATAGCCCTCAGGACCCCCCCAGGGCACCTCCTGGACCCCCCCATAGACTTCCCCATGGCCCCTGGCACCCCCATGGCCCCTCCTGGTGGTGCCGTACCTGTGCCCTACCTGTACCCTCACCTGTGCCATACCTGTACCCCTCTCACCTGTACCCTCCCTGTGCCCCCCATGCCCCCAGTGCCGTACCTGTGCCCGCCGTGCCCCCCTGGCAGTGCCACACCTGTGCCCTCCCCATTCCCATCACCTGTGCCCCCGTGTGCCCCCCCCAGCGGTGCCCTACCTGTGCCATACCTGTACCCTCCTCATACCCCCCTGCTGCCATACCTGTGCCCTCACCTGTGCCCCCCTACCCCGGTGCCACACCTGTGCCCCCCCATATCCCTCCTGGCATTGCCGTACCTGTGCCCTCCCCGTGCCCCCCCAGTGCCGTACCTGTGCCCTCCCCATGCACCCTGGAGCTGTACCTGTGCTGTACCTGTACCCTCCCCGTGCCCCTCCTGGTGGTGCCATACCTGTACCCTCACCTGTGCCCTTCATGTTCCCCCGTGGTGCTGTACCTGTGCCCCCCATGCACCCTGGCATTGCCGTACCTGTGCCCTCCCCAGTGCCATCACCTGTGCCATACCTGTACCCTCCTCATACCCCCCTATTGCCACACCTGTGCCCTCACCTGTGCCCCTCTACCCCGGTGCCACACCTGTGCCCTCCCCATTCTCCTCACCTGTGCCCCCCCCAGTGCCACACCTGTGCCATTCTCACCTGTGCCCCCATGCCCTGGTGCTTCCGTACCTGTACTGTACCTGTGCCCCACCCTGTGCCCCCCAGCAGTGCCATCCCTGTGCCCTCCCCATTCCCCTCACCTGTGCCTCCCCAGTGCCCTGGTGCTGCCATACCTGTACTGTACCTGTGCCCTCACCTGTGCCCCCTGGCATTGCTGTACCTGTACCATACCTGTGCCCTCACCTGTGCCCCCCGTGCCCCCTGGCAGTGCCGTACCTGTACCATACCTGTGCCCTCACCTGTGCCCCCCTGGCAGTAACATACCTGTACCCTCAAATGTGCCCCCCTGGCAGTGCTGTACCTGTGCCCTCACCTGTGCCCCTGTGCCCCCTGGCAGTGTCGTACCTGTGCCCTCCCCATTCCCCTCACCTGTGCCCCCCGTGCCCCCTGGCAGTGCCGTACCTGTGCCCTCACCTGTGCCCTCACCTGTGCTCCCCGTGCCCCCTGGCAGTGCCATACCTGTCCCCTCCCCATTCCCCTCACCTGTGCCCCCCGTGCCCCCTGGCAGTGCCGTACCTGTGCCCTCACCTGTGCCCCCCGTGCCCCCTGGCAGTGCCATACCTGTCCCGGTGGCGCTGCCCGACACCTTGAGCATCTGCGAGGCCATGAAGTTCACCTGGGTGTTGTAGGTGGCCTGGACGCTGCGCTTGATGCGCAGCATCTCCCGGATGGTGTCCTCGTTCCCGTGGCGGATCTCAAACTCCTTCCAGGTCTGCCAGAAACTGCCCGTGATCTGACAGACGGACAGACAGACAGACGGACAGACAGACATCATCAGTATCTCAAACTGCTGCCAGAAACTGCCCGTGATCTGACAGACAGACACACAGACAGACGGACACACGGACACCATCAGCATCTCAAACTGCTGCCAGGTCTGCCAGAAACTGCCCGTGATCTGACAGACACAGAGACGGACAGCTGGACAGACAGACAGACATCATCAGCATCTGCTGCCAGAAACTGCCCGTGATCTGACAGACGGACAGATAGACAGACACACGGACACCATCAGCATCTCAAACTGCTGCCAGAAACTGTCCGTGATCTGACAGACAGACACACAGACAGACGGACAGACAGACATCATCAGCATCTCAAACTGCTGCCAGGTCTGCCAGAAACTGCCCGTGATCTGACAGACAGACAGACACACGGACACCATCAGCATCTCAAACTCCTTCCAGGTCTGCCAGAAACTGCCCGTGATCTGACAGACGGACAGACGGACAGACACACGGACATCATCAGCATCTCAAACTGCTGCCAGGTCTGCCAGAAACTGCCTGTGATCTGACAGACGGACAGACGGACAGACACACGGACATCATCAGCATCTCAAACTGCTGCCTGCCAGAAACTGCCCGTGATCTGACACACGGACAGATAGACAGACACACGGACACCATCAGCATCTCAAACTGCTGCCAGAAACTGTCCGTGACCTGACAGATGGACACACAGACAGACGGACACATGGACATCATCAGCATCTCAAACTGCTGCCACGTCTGCCAGAAACTGCCCGTGATCTGACAGATACACAGACAGACAGACGGACACCATCTGCATCTCAAACTGCTGCCAGAAACTGCCCGTGATCTGACAGACGGACACACAGACAGACAGACAGACACCATCAGCATCTCAAACTGCTGCCAGGTCTGCCAGAAACTGCCCGTGATCTGACAGACACACAGATGGACACACAGACAGACACACAGACACATGGACATCATCAGCATCTCAAACTCCTTCTAGGTCTGCCAGAAACTGCCCGTGATCTGACAGACAGACAGACACACAGACAGATGGACGGACAGAAGGACATCATCAGCATCTCCCTGCCAGAAACTGCCCATGATCTGACAGACACACGGACACACAGACAGACACATGGACACACAGACAGTGTCATTGTCTCCTGCCAGAAACTGCCCGTGATCTGACAGACAGACACACGGACATCATCAGCATCTCAAACTCCTTCCAGGTCTGCCAGAAACTGCCCGTGATCTGACAGACGGACATAGACAGACAGATGGACACACGGACAGACGGACACGGTCAGCCCCTCCCAGTGTCCCCAGTGTCCCCAGTCTCACCCTGGGGTCACAGATTTGGGAGCAGTGAGTGTCCCCAGTGTCCCCAGTCCCTCCCACTGTCCCCATTGTCCCCAGTCTCCCCCAGTGTCCCCAGTCTCACCCTGGGGTCACAGATCTGTGAGCAGTGAGTGTCCCCATTGTCCCCCCCAGTGTCCCCCCCATTGTCCCCAGTCTCACCCTGGGGTCACAGATCTGCGAGCAGTAGGTGTAGATGGCGCGTGCCCGATCCACCTCGCCCAGCTTGCACTCCATGTCAGCGAAGCGCAGGCACAGCTCCCGCGCGGCGTCATCGCCCAGCACCTGCCACGGGACGGGGCACTGCCACACCTGGCACAGCCAGCTGGGAGCACCTGGGACACCTGGGACACCTGGCACAGCCAGCTGGGAGCACCTGGGACACCTGGGACACCTGGCACGGCCAGCTGGGAGCACCTGGGACACCTGGCACCACCTGTGCCTCCCAGTGCCACCTGGCACCAGCTGGGACCAACTGTGCCCACTTGGGACACCTGGCACCAGCTGGGAGCAACTGTGCCTCCCAGTGCCCACCTGGCACCAGCTGGGAGCAGCTCTGCCCACCTGGGACACCTGGCACAGCCAGCTGGGAGCACCTGGGACACCTGGCACCAGCTGGGACCAACCATGCCCACTTGGGACACCTGGCACCAGCTGGGAGCAACTGTGCCCGCCTGGGACACCTGGCACCAGCTGGGACCACCTGGCACCAGCTCTGCCTCCCAGTGCCACCTGGGACACCTGGCACCAGCTGGGACCACCCGGGACACCTGGGACACCTGGCACCAGCTGGGACCACCCGGGACACCTGGCACCAGCTGGGAGCACCTGGGACACCTGGCACCACCTGTGCCCACCCGGGACACCTGGCACCAGCTGGGAGCACCTGGGACACCTGGCACCACCTGTGCCCACCCGGGACACCTGGCACCAGCTGGGACCAGCCCTGCCCACCCGGGACACCTGGCACCAGCTGGGAGCAACCGTGCCCACCTGGCACCAGCTGGGAGCACCTGGGACACCTGGCACCAGCTGGGAGCAACCGTGCCCACCCGGGACACCTGGCACCAGCTGGGGACCACCTGGGACACCTGGCACCACCTGTGCCTCCCAGTGCCACCTGGCACCAGCTCTGCCTCCCAGTGCCACCCAGGACACCTGGCACCAGCTGGGACCAACCCTGCCCACCCGGGACACCTGGCACCAGCTGGGAGCAGCCAAACCCACCCGGGACACCTGACACCACCTGTGCCCACCTGGGACACCTGGCACCACCTGTGCCCACCTGGGACACCTGGCACCAGCTGGGCCCAGCTCTGCCTCCCAGTGCCCACCTGGCACCAGCTGGGACCAACCGTGCCCACCTGGGACACCTTTGCCCACCTGTGCCTCCCAGTGCCACCTGGGACACCTGGCACCAGCTGGGACCACCTGGGACACCTGGCACCAGCTGTGCCTCCCAGTGCCACTTGGGACACCTGGCACCAGCTGGGACCACCTGTGCCCATCTGTACCTCCTGTGCTACCTGGGACCAGCTGTACACACCCAGTGCCCACCTGGCACCATCTGGGACCCCAGTGCCCACCTGTGCCTCCCAGTGCCACCTGTACTTACCTGGCACCAGCTGTGCCTCCCAGTGCCCACCTGGGACACCTGGCACCAGCTGGGACCAACCGAGCCCACCTGGGACACCTGGCACCAGCTGTGCCCACCTGTGCCTCCCAGTGCCACCTGTACCTACCTGGCACCAGCTGTGCCTCCCAGTGCCCACCTGGGACACCTGGCACCAGCTGGGACCAGCTGTGACTCCCAGTGCCCACCTGGGACCAGCTGGGATCACCTGTGCCCAGCTGTGCCTCCCAGTGCCACCTGTACCTACCTGGCACCAGCTGTGCCTCCCAGTGCCCATCTGGGACCATCTGTGCACACTTGTGTCCCCCAGTGCCACCTGGGACCAGCTGTACCCGTCTGTGCCCACCTGTGACACCTGTGACCAGCTGTACACACCTCTGTCCCCAGCTGTGCCCAGCTGTGCCCACCTGTACCCTCCTGTGCCCCCCAGTGCCACCTGGGACCAGCTGTACCCGTCTGTGCCCACCTGTGCCTACCTGTGCCACCTGTGACCAGCTGTACACACCTCTGTCCCCAGCTGTGCCCAGCTGTGCCCAGCTGTACCCTCCTGTGCCCCCCAGTGCCACCTGGGACCAGCTGTACCCGTCTGTGCCCACCTGTGTGCCTTGTACCCACCTGTACCCGTCTGTGCCCACCTGTGACATCTGTGCCATCTGTGCCCAGCTATGTCCCCTTCTACCCACCTGTTCCACCCAGTGCCCACCTGGGACCAGCTGTACCCACCTGTGCCCACACCTGTGCGTGACCCCAAAGAGCTCTGGGTACGCCTCTCTGTGCCCCCAGGTGTGCCCAGGTGTGCCAGGTGTGCCCAGGTGGGTACCTCAATGGCTCTCTGGTAAATGGGGTGCATGTGGGTGATCCAGCCCCAGGTGTGCCCAGGTGTGCCAGGTGTGTCAGGTGTGCCCAGGTGTGCCCAGGTGTGTGCCCAGGTGTGTGCCCACCTCAATGGCTCTCTGGTAGATGGGGCGGGTGTGGGTGACCCCGAAGAGCTCGGCTGCCCGCCGGATGTAGATGTGGAACCCAGCCCCAGGTGTGCCCAGGTGTGTGCCCAGGTGTGTGCCAGTGTGTGCCCAGGTGTGTGCCCAGGTGTGTGCCCACCTCGATGGCTCTCTGGTAGATGGGGTGCATGTGGGTGATCCAGCCCCAGGCGTGCCCAGGTGTGCCAGGTGTGTCAGGTGTGCCCAGGTGTGTGCCCAGGTGTGTGGGTACCTCAATGGCTCTCTGGTAGATGGGGCGCGTGTGGGTGACCCAGCCCCAGGTGTGCCCAGGTGTGTGCCCAGGTGTGTGCCCAGGTGTGTGCCCAGGTGTGTGCCCAGGTGTGCCCAGGTGTGTGCCCAGGTGTGTGGGTACCTCGATGGCTCTCTGGTAGATGGGGCGCGTGTGGGTGACCCCGAAGAGCTCGGCTGCCCGCCGGATGTAGATGTGGAACCCAGCCCCAGGTGTGTGCCCAGGTGTGCCCAGGTGTGTGCCAGGTGTGTGCCCAGGTGTGCCCAGGTGTGTGCCCACCTCAATGGCTCTCTGGTAGATGGGGCGGGTGTGGGTGACCCAGCCCCAGGTGTGCCCAGGTGTGTGCCCAGGTGTGTGCCCAGGTGTGTGTGCCCAGGTGTGTGCCCACCTCGATGGCTCTCTGGTAGATGGGGCGGGTGTGGGTGACCCCGAAGAGCTCGGCTGCCCGCCGGATGTAGATGTGGAACCCAGCCCCAGGTGTGTGCCCAGGTGTGTGCCCAGGTGTGTGCCCAGGTGTGCCCAGGTGTGTGCCCAGGTGTGTGCCCAGGTGTGTGCCCAGGTGTGTGCCCACCTCGATGGCTCTCTGGTAGATGGGGCGGGTGTGGGTGACCCCGAAGAGCTCGGCTGCCCGCCGGATGTAGATGTGGAACCCAGCCCCAGGTGTGCCCAGGTGTGTGCCCAGGTGTGTGCCAGGTGTGTGCCCAGGTGTGTGCCCAGGTGTGTGCCCACCTCGATGGCTCTCTGGTAGATGGGGTGCATGTGGGTGATCCAGCCCCAGGCGTGCCCAGGTGTGCCAGGTGTGTCAGGTGTGCCCAGGTGTGTGCCCAGGTGTGTGGGTACCTCAATGGCTCTCTGGTAGATGGGGCGCAGTGTGGGTGACCCAGCCCCAGGTGTGCCCAGGTGTGTGCCCAGGTGTGTGCCCAGGTGTGTGCCAGGTGGTGTGGGTACCTCGATGGCTCTCTGGTAGATGGGGCGGGTGTGGGTGACCCCGAAGAGCTCGGCTGCCCGCCGGATGTAGATGTGGAACCCAGCCCCAGGTGTGTGCCCAGGTGTGTGCCCAGGTGTGCCCAGCTGTGTGCCCACCTCGATGGCTCTCTGGTAGATGGGGGCGTGTGTGGGTGACCCCGAAGAGCTCGGCTGCCCGCCGGATGTAGATGTGGAACATGTCGCGCTGCTGCTCGGGGGGCACCGCCCGCGTGCCGCGCTCGTACACGGCCATGGCGCGGCGCGCCAGCCCAAACTGCTCCTCCAGGCGCGCGTACAGCAGGTAGATGGCTGGGGGACGGACAGACGGACGGACAGGGGACAGACGGGGGCAGAGGGACAGACAGGACAGATAGGGGACAGACAGGGGCAGGGCACAGATGGGATAGACAGGGGGACAGACAGGGGCAGGGGACAGACAGGGGGACAGACAGGGGGACAGACAGGGGCAGGGGACAGACAGGGGGACAGACAGGGGGACAGACAGGGGCAGGGCACAGACAGGGGATAGACAGGGACAGACAGGGGCAGGGCACAGACAGGGGATAGACAGGGGCAGGGGACAGACAGGGGCAGGGGATAGACAGGGACAGAGGGACAGACAGGGGCAGGGCACAGACAGGGACAGAGGGACATACAGGGGATAGACAGGGACAGAGGGACAGACAGGGACAGACAGGGGCAGGGCACAGACAGGGGATAGACAGGGACAGGGGGACAGGGATGGGGACAGGGAAGGAGGGGACAGAGACAAGGGACACACAGGACAGGAGGGGACAGGGACATAGGGACACAGACAGACAGACAGGGAGAGAGACAGAGGGGACAGTCAGGACAGATGGGACAGAGACAGGGGGACCCACAGAATAGCGATAGGGACAAGGGGACACAGGACAGGAGGGGACAGGGACAGGGAGGGAACAGGGACAGGGGGACAGGGACATGGGGATATGGAGGGGACAGAAGGGACAAAGAGGGACAGGGATAGGGACAGGGACAGGGGGACACATGGGGACAGGGACAAGACAGAGATGGGGTGAGGGGACAAGGACAGGGACAGGGAGGGGACAGTCAGGGACATGGGGGCAGGAACAGGGACAGGAGGGGACAGGGAGGAGATAGGGGCAGGGGGACAGGGACAGGGGACATGGACAGGAGGGAACAGGGACATGGGACAGGGACAGAGGGACAGGGAGGGGACAGCCAGGGGACAGGGACATGGGGATATGGATAGGAACAGGGATGGGACAGTCAGGGGAGAGGGACATAGGGACAGGAGCATGAGGGACAGGGACAGGGAGGGGACAGTGACAAGGAAGGACGGGGAGGGACAGTGAGAGGACAGCCAGGGACAGGGAGGGGACAGTGAGAGGACAGCCAGGGACAGGGACAGGGGACAGGGGACGGGGCAAAGGAGAGGAACAGGGACAAGGGACAGTGAAGAGACAGGGACAGGGAGGGGACAGTGAGGGGGCAGGGACAGGGATTCCTGCCATGTCCCCACTGTCCCCCATGTCCCCCTATCCCCAATGCCCCTCCATGTCCCCAGTGTCCCCCCATATCCCCCAATGTCCTCCTGTCCCCAATGTCCCCAGAGTCCCCCAATATCCCCAATGTCCTCCTGTCCCCAATGTCCCCAGAGTCCCCCAATATCCCCAATGCCCCCCATCCCCACTGCCCCCCATGTCCCCCATGTCCCCAATGTCCCCAGTGTCCCCATATCCCCCAATGTCTCCCCATGACTGCGATGCCCCCAATGTCCCAGTGTCCCCCAATGCTGCCAACACCCCAATGTCCCCACTCCCCCCATGTCCCCCGATGTCCCCAATGCCCCCAGTGTGCCCCATTGCCCCATGTCCCCACTGCCCCCCATGTCCCCAATGTCCCCAGTGCCTCCAACACCCCCAATGTCCCCAGTGCCCCCCATGTCCCCATATCCCCCAATGTCCCCACTCTCCTCCATGTCCCCACTCCCCCCATGTCCCCACTGCCCCCCATGTCCCCATATCCCCCCATGTCCCCAATGCCCCCATGTCCCCATATCCCCCCATGTCCCCAATGCCCCCCATGTCCCCAGTGCCCCCCCCCCAGTGTCCCCTTGTCCCCTGTCCTACTCTTGGCGTGCTGGGGGGGGCACCCGTCCAGCGCCTGCTCAAAGAGGTCCCGGGCCCGCTCCAGCTTCCGGCCCCCGTACCGGGCCACGAACTTGGACAGGTACGTGAGCCACAGGTCCCCGACGTGCGGCCAGCGGAACAGCGCGATGCCACGCTCGTACGCCTGGGGGGACAGTGGGGACAGTGGGGACATTGGGGACACCACAGGAACAGCGCGATGCCACGCTCGTAGGCCTGGGGGGACAGCGGGGACATTGGGGACATCAGCATGGGGACATTGGGGACATGGTGACACCACAGGAACAGCGCGATGCCACGCTCGTACGCCTGGGGGACAGTGGGGACATTGAGGACATCAGCATGGGGACATTGGGGACATGGTGACACCACAGGAACAGCACGATGCCACGCTCGTAGGCCTGGGGGGACAGTGGGGACATGGTGACACTACAGGAACAGCGCGATGCCACGCTCGTAGGCCTGGGGGGACAGTGGGGACATTGGGGACATGGTGACACCAGCGGAACAGGGTGATGCCGCACTCGTAGGCCTGGGGGGACAGTAGGGACATTGGGGACATCAGCATGGGGACACCACAGGAACAGCGCGATGCCACGCTCGTAGGCCTGCGGGGACAGTGGGGACATTGGGGACATCAGCATGGGGACATTGGGGACATGGTGACACCACGGGAACAGCGCGATGCCGCGCTCGTAGGCCTGGGGGGACACTGGGGACATTGGCGACATGGGGGACATGTGGGACATGGTGACACCACGGGAACAGCGCGATGCCACACTTTAGGCCTGGGGGGACAGTGGGGACATTGGGGACATCAGCATGGGGACACTGGGGACATGGTGACACCACGGGAACAGCGCAATGCCACGCTCGTACGCCTGGGGGGACAGTGGGGACATTGGGGACATGGTGGCACCAGCAGACCAGTGCGATGCCACGCTCATTGGCCTGATGGGACATGGGGACACTGGGGACATTGGGGACATGGTGACACCAGTGGAACAGCGTGATGCCACGCTCATTGGCCTGCGGGGACACTGGGGACAGGGACACTGGCATGGGGACAGTGCCACCAGCAGGACAGCGCAATGCCACATCCGTGTGCCCATGGGAACACCCCTGTGAGCCACAGGGTCACTGTGGTGTCCCCAACTCCCTCCTGGGTGTCCCCAACACCTTCCTGGGGTGTCCCACCCAAACCCTCCAGCCACAGGGTGTCCCCAGCCCCTCTCAGTGTCCCCAGCCCCGTGCTGTGCTGGGCTGTCCCTGCAGTGTCCCTACAGTGTCCCCAGGTATCCCAGGATTATTCCAGTTATCCCCAGCTGTCCCCAGTGTCCTTGAAGTGTCCCTGCAGTGTCCCCAGCTCTCCCAGCAGTGTCCCCAGGTGTTCCTGCAGTGTCCCTGGCTGTCCCCAGGGTCACCTTGAAGCTGTCCTTGAAGCGGCCGTGCTCCCCCAGCTTCCCCAGCTCCTGCACTGTCCCAGCAGTGTCCCCAGTGTCCCTGGCTGTCCCCAGCTGTCCCTAGCTGTCCGTGCAGTGTCCCCAGTGTCCCCATTGTCCCCGGCTGTCCCAGCAGTGTCCCCATTGTCCCTGCAGTGTCCCAGTGTCACCTTGAAGCTGTCCTCGAAGCAGCCGTGCTCCCCCAGCTCCCCCATTGTCCCTGGCTGTCCCCAGCTGTCCCTGGCTGTCCCTGCAGTGTCCCCATTGTCCCTGGCTGTCCCTGCAGTGTCCCCAGTGTCCCTGCAGTGTCCCCAGTGTCCCCAGCTGTCCCTGCAGTGTCCCCGTGTCACCTTGAAGCTGTCCTCGATGCGGCCGTGCTCCCCCAGCTCCCCCCAGCTCCCCCATTGTCCCAGCAGTGTCCCCAGCTGTCCCAGCAGTGTCCCCAGCTGTCCCCAGTGTCACCTTGAAGCTGTCCTCGAAGTGGCCGTGCTCGTCCAGCTCCCCCATTGTCCCTGGCTGTCCCCAGTTTCCCCCAGCTGTCCCTATCTGTCCCCAGGTGTCCCTGCAGTGTCCCCAGTGTCCCCATTGTCCCTGAAGTGTCCCCGTGTCACCTTGAAGCTGTCCTCGAAGCGGCCGTGCTCCCCCAGCTTCCCCAGCTCCTGCACTGTCCCAGCTGTCCCCAGCTGTCCCAGCAGTGTCCCCAGTGTCCCCACTGGCCCCAGCTGTCCCATGTCACCTTGAAGCTGTCCTCGAAGCGGCCGTGCTCCCCCAGCACCCCCCAGCTCCCGCATTGTCCCAGCTGTCCCCAGCTATTCCCAGCTGTCCCTATCTGTCCCCAGCTGTCCCAGCAGTGTCCCCAGTGTTCCCAGCTGTCCCTGCAGTGTCACCTTGAAGCTGTCCTCGAAGCGGCCGTGCTCCCCCAGCTCCCCCCAGCTCCCGCACTGTCCCAGCAGTGTCCCCATTGTCCCCAGCTGTCCCTGCAGTGTCCCCATTGTCCCCAGTGTCACCTTGAAGCTGTCCTCGAAGCGGCCGTGCTCCTCCAGCAGCAGCGCGTAGTTGATGACGATCTGGGGGGTGGCGATGCGCAGGTCCAGGATGCGCTCGTACACACTGCGGGTGGACTGGGGACACCGGGGACACAGACAGGGACAGGGACAGCAGGGGACAGCAGGGGACAGCAGGGGACAGCAGGGACAGCAGGGGACACCAGGGGACAGCAGGGGATATGGACAGGGACAGCAGGGGACAGCAGGGGACAGCAGGGGACACGGACAGGACAGGGACACCAGGGGACAGGGACAGCAGGGGACAGCAGGGGACATGGACAGGGACAGCAGGGGACACGGACAGGGACAGGGACACAGACAGGGACAGGGACACCAGGGACACAGACAGGGACAGGGACAGCAGGGGACAGCAGGGGACAGCAGGGACAGCAGGGGACACGGACGGGGACAGCAGGAGACACAGACAGGGACAGGGACAGCAGGGGACACGGACAGGGACACCAGGGGACAGCAGGGGGATATGGGGGACAGGGATGGGGACAGGACAGGGACACCAGGGGGACACCAGGGGACAGGGGACACCAGGGGGACATGGGGACAGAGGGGACAGGGATATGGGGACACCAGGGGACAGGGACATGGGGACAGGAACGGGGGACAGGGACAGAGGAACATGGGGATACAAGGACATGGGGACACAGGGACAGGAACATGGAGACATGGGGACAGAGGGACATGGAGACACGGGGACATGGAGACACGGGGACATGGGGACAGGGACAGGGATGGGGACACAGGGACAGAGACAGAGGAGACATGGGGATACAGGGACACGGGGACAGGAGGACGTAGGGACATGAGAACATGGGGACAGGAGGACAGGGACAGTGATACGCAGGGACATGGGGACAGGACATGGGACAGAGAGAGGACAGGGACACAGGGATGGGAACAGGGACAGAGACAGAGGAGACATGGGGATACAGGGACACAGGGACATGGGGACAGAGAGAGGGACGGAGGACAGGGACAGTGATACGCAGGGACATGGGGACACAGGACATGGGGACAGAGAGAGGGACAGGGACACAGGGATGGGGACAGAGGGGACAGCAAGGTCACAGCACGCCCAGCACGATGTCCCCACACCAGCCCCACACCCCAGGTGTGCCCCAGGCCCAGCCCAGTGTCCCCCATTGCCCACCCTGACGCCCCAAGGTGTCCCCAAGGTGTCCCCAAGGTGTCCCCCAGGTGTCCCCCACATTCACAGAAGTGTCCCCCATGTCAACCCTGGCGTCTCCCAGGTGTGCCCAGGTGTCCCCTATGCCCACGCTGATGTAGCCAGGTGCCCTCAGGTGTCCCCCCATGGCCCCAGCTGTCCCCAGGTGTGCCCAGGTGTGCCCATGTGTGCCCAGGTGCCCTCAGGTGCCCGAGGAGTGCCCATGTTCTCCTCCAGGTCTGCCAGCATCGCCCACACCCATCCCCAGCTGTCCCCAGGTGTGTCCCCATGTCCCTATGTCCCCAGGTGTGTGCCCAGGTGTGTGCCCAGGTGTGTGCCCATGTCCCCAGGGTGCCTGGATGTGTGCCCAGGTGTGTCCCCATGTCCCCAGGTGTGCACAGGGTGCCCAGGTGTGTCCCCAGGTGTGTGCCCATGTGTGTCCCCATGTCCCCAGGTGTGCCCAGGTGTGTGCCCACCTGGAAGGTGCCCAGGCTCTCCTCCAGGTCTGCCAGCATTGCCCACACCCATCCCAATGTCCCCAGATGTGTCCCCATGTCCCCAGGTGTGTCCCCAGGTGTGTCCCCATGTTCCCCCAGGTGTATGCCCAGGTGTGTGCCCATGTCCCCAGGTGTGTCCCCATGTCCCCAGGTGTATCCCCAGCTGTCCCCAGGTGTGTCCCCATGTCCCCAGGTGTGTCCCCAGGTGTGTGCCCAGGTGTGTCCCCATGTTCCCCCAGGTGTGTGCCCAGGTGTGTGCCCACCTGGAAGGTGCCCAGGCTCTCCTCCAGGTCTGCCAGCATTGCCCACACCCATCCCAACATGCCCAGGTGTGTGCCCAGGTGTGCCCAGGTGTGTCCCCATGTCTCCAGGGTGCCCAGGTGTGTGCCAGGTGTGTGCCCAGGTGTGTGCCCAGGTGTGTGCCCACCTGGAAGGTGCCCAGGCTCTCCTCCAGGTCTGCCAGCATTGCCCACACCCATCCCAATGTCCCCAGCTGTCCCCATGTTCTCAGGTGTGTGCCCAGGTGTGTGCCCAGCTGTCCCCAGGTGTGTGCCCAGGTGTGTGCCCAGGTGAGTGCCCAGGTGAGTGCCCAGGTGTGTCCCCATGTCCCCAGGTGTGCCCAGGTGTGTGCCCAGAGGTGAGTGCCCAGGTGAGTGCCCAGGTGTGTCCCCATGTCCCCAGGTGTGCCCAGGTGTGTGCCCAGGTGAGTGCCCAGATGTGTCCCCATGTTCCCAGGTGTGCCCAGGTGTGTCCCCATGTCCGTGCCCAGGTGTGTGCCCAGGTGTGTCCCCATGTCCCCAGGTGTGCCCAGGTGTGTCCCCATGTCCCCAGGTGTGTGCCCAGTGTGTCCCCATGTGCCCAGGTGTGTGCCCAGGTGTGTCCCCAGGTGTGTGCCCAGGTGTGTCCCCAGGTGCCCCCAGGTGCCCACCTGGAAGGTGCCCAGGCTCTCCTCCAGGTCTGCCAGCATTTGCCCACACCCATTCCAATGTCCCCAGCTGTGTGTCCCCTGTCCCCAGGTGTGTCCCCATGTCCCCAGGTGTGTGCCCAGATGTGTCCCCATGTTCCCAGGTGTGTGCCCAGGTGTCCCCAGGTGTGTCCCCATGTCCCCAGGTGTGTGCCCAGGTGTGTCCCCATGTCCCCAGGTGTGCCACAGGTGTGTCCCCAGGTGTGCCCAGGTGTGTGCCCACCTGGAAGGTGCCCAGGCTCTCCTCCAGGTCTGCCAGCATCGCCCACACCCTCAGGTTCTTGTAGAGCCGGTTCTGCACGGGCTCCGAGCTGTCGAAGTACTCGGCCCGGCGGGAGGGGAGAGCCGTGGCTTTCTGGGGGAAAAACAGGGGAAAATGGTGAAAATGGGGGAAAAAGGGGAAAAAAGGGGGGGAACGGGGAAAAATTGAGGAAAAAGGGGGAAAAAACAGAGGAAAAATTGGAAAAAGGGGGGGAAAAGGGAGAAAATGGGGAAAAAAACAAGGGGAAAAAAGGGGGAGAAATGGGGGGAAAATGGGGAAAAAATGAGGAAAAAAGGGGAAAAAACAGAAGAAAAAATAGGGAAAAAGGGGGGGGAAATGGGGAAAAATTGATGAAAAAAAGGGGAAAAAAGGGGGGAAATGGGAAAATGGGGGAAAATTGGGGATTAAATGGGGGGGAAAGGGGGGAAAAATGAAGGAAAAACAGGAAAAAAGGGGGGGAAAGGGGAAAAAGCGGGGAAAGGAGGGAAATGGCGAAAATGGGGAAAAATGGGGGGAAATGATGAAAATGGGGGAAATGGGGAAAAATGGGTGGAATGAGGAAAATGGGGGAAATTGTGAAGATAGAGAAAAATGGGGGAATGGGGGAAAGTGGAGAAAATGGGGAAAATTGGGGGGAATGGGGAAAATTGTGAAAATGGGGGGAAATGGGGGAATGGGAAAATGGGGGGGAAAACAGGGGAAATGGGGGAAAACGGGGGGAAAGGGGGAATGGGGAAATGTGGGAAAATTGGGAAATGGGGAAAGAAGGGGAAATGGGGAAAACGGGGGAAAATGGAGTGCCCTATTTTTGGGGTCCCCCTGTTTTTGGGGTGCCCTGTTTTTGGGGTCCTTATTTTCTGGGTGCCTCATTTTTGGGGTGACCGTTTTTTTTTGGTTCCCCATTTTCGGGGTGCCCCATTTTCGGGGTGCCCTGTTTTTGGATTCTCCATTTTCAGGGTTCCAAATTTTTGGGGTGTCCTGTTTTTGGGGTGCCCCCATTTTCAGGGTGCCCTGTTTTTGGATTCCCCATTTTCAGGGTTCCCCATTTTCAGGGTTCCCCATTTTCGGGGTGCCCTGGTTTTGGATTCCCCATTTTCAGGGTTCCCCATTCTCGGCGTGCCCTGTTTTTGGATTCCCCATTTTCGGGGTGGCCCTGTTTTTGGGGTCCCCCCATTTTCGGGGTGCCCTGTTTTTGGGGTCCCCCATTTTTAGAGTTCCCCCCTTTTCAGGGTGCCCTGTTTTTGGGGTCCCCCATTTTCAGGGTTCCCCATTTTCGGGGTCCCCCCGTTTTTGGGGTGCCCCCCATTTTCGGGGTGCGCTGTTTTTGGATTCCCCATTTTTGGGGTCCCGCCATTTTTGGGGTGCCCTGTTTTTGGATTCCCCATTTTCAGGGTCCCCCCATTTTTGGGGTGCCCCATTCTCGGGGTGCCCTGTTTTTGGGGTTTCCTGCTATTTGGGGTGCCCTGTTTTTGGGGTCCCCCCATTTTCAGGGTGCCCTGATTTTGGGGGTCCCCCCATTTTTGGGGTGCCCCGTTTTTGGGGTCCCCCCATTTTCGGGGTGCCCTGTTTTTGGGTCCCCCCATTTTTGGGGTGCCCTGTTTTTGGATTCCCCATTTTCAGGGTCCCCCCATTTTTGGGGTGCCCCATTCTCGGGGTGCCCTGTTTTTGGGGTTTCCTGCTATTTGGGGTGCCCCTTTTTTGGGGTCCCCCCATTTTCGGGGTGCCCCGTTTTCGGGGGTGCCCTCACCCTCAGCACGGCCAGCGCCTCCTGGTGGCGCTGGTGGCGCAGCTCCAGCTCCCCAAACTCGCACCAGACGGCGGCGAGGTCCTCGACACGGCGGAACCGCACCCGGGTGGCCCGGGACAGGATGGACCTGGCCTGGGGACAACATTGGGGACACCATTGGGGACACTGGGACAGGGACAGGAACCGCACCCAGGTGGCCCGGGACAGGATGGACCTGGCCTGGGGGACACCATTGGGGACATTGGGGACACCACTGGGACACTGGGACAGGGACAGGAACCGCACCCGGGTGGCCCGGGACAGGATGGACCTGGCCTGGGGACAGTGGGGACAACAGTGGGGACATCACTGGGGACAGGATGGACCTGGCCTGGGGACATTGGGGGACACTGGGACAGGGACAGGAACTGCACCCGGGTGGCCTGGGACAGGATGGACCTCGCCTGGGGACACCTTGGGGACATTGATAAACACCATTGGGACATTGGGGACAATGGGGACATGAACAGGAACTGCACCTGGGTGGCCCAGGACAGGATGGACCTGGCCTGAGGACATTGGGGACACCATTGGGACAGGATAGACCTGGCCTGGGGACAATGGGGACATCATTGGGGACATCACTGGGGACAGGATGGACCTGGCCTGGGGACACTGGGGACATCACTGGGGACACCATTGGGGACATCACTGCGGACAGGATGGAGCTGGCCTGGGGACATTGGGGGACAACATTGGGGACACCACTGGGGGACAGGATGGACCTGGCCTGGGGACACCATTGGGACATTGGGGACGCTGGGACAGGGACAGGAACCACACCCGGGTGGCTCGGGACAGGATGGACCTGGCCTGGGGACACCACTGGGGACATTGGGGACATCACTGGGGACAGGGATGGACCTGGCCTGGGGACAGTGGGGACAACATTGGGGACACCACTGGGGACACCATTGGGACATTGGGGGCACTGGACAGGAACCGCACCCAGGTGGCTCGGGACAGGATGGACCTGGCCTGGGGACACCACTGGGGACATTGGGGACATAACTGGGGACACTGGGACAGGGGACAGGATGGAGCTGGCCTGGGGGCACAGGAGGGGGGCAGGCCTGGGGGGCACAGACAGGTCTGGGGGTGTCCCTCAAGTTTGGGGTGTCCCCAGGATTTGGGTGCCCCCCAGGTGGGGTTTTGGGGGTGTCCCTCAGGATTTTAGGGTGTCCCAGGTGGGTTTTGGGGGTGTCCCTCAGGATTTGGGGGTCCCAGGCAGATTTGGAGGTGTCTCCCCAGGTTTGGGGAGTCCCTCAGGTTTAGGGGTCCTGCAGGATTTTGGGGTCCCATGCAGGATTTGGGGGGTCCCAGGCAGATTTTGGGGATGTCCCTCAGGATTTTGATGTCCCCCAGGTTTGGGGGTCCTTCAGGATTTTGGGGTCCCTCAGGATTTTGGGGGTCCCAGGATGTTTTGGGGGTGTCCCTCAGGATTTTGGTGCCCCCCAGGTTTAGGGGTCCCCCAGGTTTGGGGTGTTCCTCGGGGGTCAGATGTCCCAGGATGTTTTGGGGGTGTCCCTCAGGATTTGGGGGGTCCCAGGATGTTTTGGGGGTGTCCCTCAGGATTTGGGGGGTCGCAGGCAGATTTTGGGGATGTCCCTCAGGATTTTGGTGCCCCCCAGGTTTAGGGGTCCCCCAGGGTTGGGTGTCCCTCGGGGTTCAGATGTCCCAGACTGTTTTGGGGGTGTCCCTCAGGATTTGGGGGTCCCATGCAGGATTTGGGGGTCCCAGGCAGATTTGTGGGATGTCCCTCAGGATTTTGGTGTCCTCCAGGTTTGGGGTGTCCCTCAGGATTTTGGGGTCCCACAGGATTTTGGGGTCCCAGGATGTTTTGGGGATGTCCCTCAGGATTTTGGGGTCCCCCAGGTTTTGGGGATGTCCCTCAGGGTTTGGGGATGTCCCTCAGGATTTTGGTGTCCCCAGGTTTGCGGGTCCCTCAAGGTTCAGATGTCCCAGACTGTTTTGGGGGTGTCCCTCAGGGTTTGGGGGTCCCAGGCAGATTTTGGGGATGTCCCTCAGGATTTTGGTGTCCCCCAAGTTTGGGGTGTCCCTCAGATTTAGGGCCCCCCCAGGTTTGGGGGTCCCTTGGGGTTCAGGGGTCCCAGGCAGATTTTGGGGATGTCCCTCAGGATTTTGGGGGTGTCCCTCAGGATTTTGGTGTCCCTCAGGGTTTGGGGGTCCAGGTGGGGTCTGGGGGGTGTCCCTCGGGGTTCAGGGGTCCCATGCAGGGTTTTGGGGGCGCCCCCCGGGTGGGTTTTGGGGGGTCCCCTGCTCACGTCGTCCAGCTGCCCGTTGTCCTCGTAGAATCGCGCGAAGGCCACCCAGAGCTCGTGGGGGCGGCGGTGGCGCGCTGGGGATCCACGGTGCGCACGGCCTCCGTGAACGTCTGGATGATCTGGGACGGACAGAGGGACAAACGGACAGTCAGGGGACACTGGGGACAGCCAGGGGACATTGGGGACAGCCAGGGGACAGCCAGGGGACAGGGGGACAGTCAGGGACAGGGGGAGAGTCAGGGGACATTGGGGATCCACGGTGCGCCACGGGCCTCCCGTGAACGTCTGGATGATCTGGGACGGACACAGGGGGACACTGGGGACATTAGGGGGACACTGGGGACATTGGGGACAGCCAGGGGACAGTCAGGGGACATTGGGGACAGTCAGGGGGTGCGCTGGGGATCCACGGTGCGCACGGCCTCCGTGAACATCTGGATGATCTGGGACGGACACAGGGGGACATTGGGGACATCAGGGGACAGTCAGGGGACATTGGGGACACTGGGGAGAGTCAGGGGACAGCCAGGGGACGATTGGGGACAGTCAGGGACAGGGGGACAGTCAGGGGGCGCGCGGGGGATCCACGGTGCGCACGGCCTCCGTGAACGTCTGGATGATCTGGGACGGACAGGGGGACACTGGGGACACTGGGGGACACTGGGGACAGCCAGGGACAGGCGGACAGTCAGGGACAATGGGGAGAGTCAGGGGACACTGGGGATCCACGGTGCGCACAGGCCTCCGTGAATGTCTGGATGATCTGGGACGGGCACAGGGACATTGGGGGACATCAGGGGGCATTGGGGACACTGGGGACAGCCAGGGGACAGTCAGGGGACACTGGGGATCCACGATGCGCATGGCCTCCGTGAACGTCTGGATGATCTGGGACGGACAGAGGGACAAACGGACAGTCAAGGGACACTGGAGACAGTCAGGGGACATTGGGGACAGTCAGGGGACATTGGGGAGAGCCAGGGGACATTGGGGACACTGGGGACAGCCAGGGGACATTGGGGACAGTCAGGGACAGGGGGACAGCCGGGGGCACACTGGGGATCCACGGTGCGCACGGCCTCCATGAACGTCTGGATGATCTGGGACGGACACAGGGGGACATTGGGGGACATCAGGGGACACTGGGGACATTGGGGACATTGGGGACAGCCAGGGGACAGCCAGGGGACAGGGGGACAGCCAGGGGACACTGGGGACAGTCAGGGACAGGGGGAGAGTCAGGGGACATTGGGGATCCACGATGCGCATGGCCTCCGTGAACGTCTGGATGATCTGGGACGGACAGGGGGACAAACGGACAGTCAGGGGACACTGGGGACAGTCAGGGGACAGTCAGGGGACAGCCAGGGGACAGGGGGAGAGTCAGGGGACATTGGGGACAGTCAGGGGGTGTGCTGGGGATCCTCTGTGAACGTCTGGATGATCTGGGATGGACAGGGGGACACAGGGGACATTGGGGATAGCAGGGGACAGCCAGGGGACAGTCAGGGGACATTGGAGAGATTGGGGACAGTAAGGGAACAGTGGAGACCGTTGGGACATTGGGGATGTTGGGACAGCAGGGGACACTGGGGACAGCCAGAGGACACAGGGGACATGGGGGGACATGGGGATGCTGGGGACAATGGCGACAGCCAGGGGACAATGGGGACAGCC